TTTTGGTTAGGTGTTAGTGAAATATAAAGCATAAAAGATATACAAAAACAAATGGGTACTTGGTGATCCATGTAAAGGAGAATTCAAAGAGAGAGAGGGAAAGTAGCTAAGCTTGTAATCTTGATGTGATGCATGATGCAAAAAATGACATGGGATCTTAGAGGTAAAAATTAGGGTATGACATGTTCCTGTTAGCAACTGAAGGGTTACATGTCTTGATGAATGATTTAGTGGAAAAGGCATGCATACATGTTATGGAGTGGGGATGCAAAGCACTACTTATGTTTCTCATTTATAATTTACTGACAATACTCTATTGGTAGGGGTTAAAAGTTAGGATAATGTATGGGCTTTGAAGGCGGTCTTGATTCTTTTTGAAGCTATATAGGGTTTAAAAGTTAATTTTCATAAAAGAATTTTGTTTAGGGGTCAACGTCTTTGAACCTTGACAACATGAGGCATCGCTGGTTATGAATTTTAAACACGGTCGCCTAACGTTTTTGTATTTGGGGCTGCATATTAGTGGTGATTCTAGGAAGCTCAATTTTTGGTATCATCTAATCAATCAGATCAAAAGAAGGTTGTCGGGACGGAAGAGTCGCTTTCTCTCTATGGGGGTCTTCTGATTCTCATTAATTCTTTCATGTCGTCCATTCTAAACTATTTTATTTCCTTCTTCAAGGCACCCCTGAGTATCATATCTTCTCTTGAATCTATTTTTAATGCGTTTTTATGGGGGGTGAGGAAGTGAGAAAATTTTCCTAAATTAAATGAGATACTATTTGTTTAAAAAAATGGTTGTTTAGTAGTCAAGATGTGAAAAGAGTTTAACTTAGTCTTACTTGGTAAATGGTGTTGGAGGATTCTAAATGAGACGAGAAGTCTTCCGTATAGGGTAGTGAGTGCTCAGTATTGTGAGGAAGGGTGCATTTATGTTTTAGGGGAGGTGATGGATTTTTTTGGTTGAGGAACTTGAAAAACATAAGGGAGGGTGTTGACATGGTTGATGAAGGGTGGTTGCTCGATAACATTGATCAGAATATATGAGATGGGTTTCTTCTTTGTTTTGGAAAGACCCTTGGCTTGATGGTATTCTTTTGAAGGTAAGATTTAGTAGGTTATTTGATTTAGCGGAGAATAAGATGGTGTTTGTCGTAAAGATGAACGAAATGGGATGGGGGGAGAATGGTGAGGCGTGGAAATAGCATAGGAGGTTGCTTGTGTGGGAGGATGAGTTAGTGAGAAAGTGTATTGAGCGGTTGCCTCAATTGTTTTGGAAGTGGACGTAGAAGATTGTTAGGTTTGGAATTTACATTCCTAAGCTTGCTACACAGTCAATAATGCTTATAAAAATTTATCTAAAGTTGACGACAACAACAATCAGGATAATTTCCAAATTTTATGGTTGAAGATTGTACCTCTTAAGGTTTATATTTTTGCCCGGTGGTTGTTTTTGAATCATATTTTGACGAAGGATAATTTGGCTAGGAGACAGATTCTTGCTACGAACTATCAAATACGTGGTGAATTGTGGCATGGATAAAAACAAAGATAAATTGTTTGTAAAATGTGATTTTTTGGTAGATTGTGGACTTTTATTTCAAATTGGATAGGTTTGTCAACGACATTTCAAGAAAAATTATTAGATCACCTCTTACAGTTTGGTGGAATAGGTGGTTTTTCGAAGAATGTTCGATTGCTTTTTAATATTATTTGACACTCTGTGATTTGTGTTATTTAGAAAGGGCAAAACATTTGTACTTTTCAGATAAAAATGAGCATTTGCAGGCATTATCAGAAATGGTAAAGCATCAATCTTATTGGTGATTAAAATTGAAATATGTTATTTTTTATTTTGATTACTAGATTTGGAGGTTAAATCCTTTATCTTGTTTACCAACTGTGTTGTATACCGCTTTGTTTTGTTTCTTTTTCGAAGTTTTGGGTTATAATTTTGATTTCTTTCACGCCATATTCAATACATATTATGCTGGAATGACTTGTTTTGATCATTAATATATTTCTTATTTTAGCCTTTTTTTAAACTTTAAAAATACGGTCAAATTATTATTAGTATGTTTTTATTAAACATACTAAAAAACATGTAAAAAAACTATTTAATATATTTCATGGATTATAATCTGCCTTGGCCATATGTCTCACTATCTGCATATTTTTGACAAAATATACTATCAAAAAAACAAAAAATTATCAATTAAGATTGAGTTGGAAAAAATGTTTGACTTGTCCGTTTTGTTTGCATATTTTTTTTTGCAAAACAAACTAAAGTTTTAAATCTTCACTCATAATATGCCAGCTTTACCTTGTCTTATTTTTTGCGGACGTGGATATTTATATAATTTTTGTAATTTTTAGAGTAAAAAGGTGCAATGTCCGCGAGCCCATTCAGTTTCACCTTCATTTTTTTTGGGACGGACCAAAGTTTTAGGTCCACACCCTTAAAAATGTTCGTCCCGTCCTGTCCAATTTTCTTGTCGGCTTTTAAAAAGTAAACTTACATGGAACGAGCATGCATGTTTCTCACTCTTAATTAAGATATACCAATCCACCAAACATATAGGATTGGAGTTGGCTGAGCCTATTTACTAATTTTCAGTTTTATTTGTTCTTTTATTTTTATTTTTGATTGAAATTCGGCCAATCAATATCAACACATAACTTTTAAGTCCAAAATTTTATACTTTTACTATTTTTCTTGACTTTTTGATGTGCTAATATGTCATGATTATGATAAATATAAAATTGTATCGAGTTGAACAGAGGCCCAATAACATAAATATCCGATCATTAATCATGAATTCAAAGTCATAAGATATTGTAGGCATAACTCACATGATACATACCCATTCTTGATCCACACCACAGACGACTATTCACCGCTGGATACCATCACACGATTCTCCGCATAAAATACTGAAAAATAAGGGGATTTCTAATTGCTCCTTATATATAAGGGATTCCACACATGACCTGGGATATGTTAGAATCATAATTTACTATAACACTACTTTTCATTTCATAACTAACTTGGAATGATAAGTTTACTTCATCCTTGTTGTACTGAAAACTTGCTTCATCGTACCAAAACATTATTACACATTTATTGTTCTGCAATTGAAAAAAAACAGTCTAATTTTCTTGACAAACCAACCCACAAAAAATAAGGCGATCTTTGTTGAGAGTGCGTATCTAAAATCTTGTCTTGCCACACAAAAAATAAGTGTGGGGCGGGATAGACCTGCGTGTATTGCATATTTTAAACTTAAAAATTATAAGTTTTTTGTTAATACTCGCGCTCGCCAGAGTCTACAAATAAAATCAGAGCAGACATATTAAAGAGTACGGATCTAAAACTTTAATTTGCCCCCACAAAAAAATACGGACAAAATTGACATTGCCTGATAGACCGGGTCTATTTTTTCATCCCTAATTAAAATCCATCAGCAACAAGTATGGCCCGATCCATAAACAATTTTGTGATGACAACTTTGGCATTGATTCCCCACAATTCTGAAGGAGGGTGCATTCTATAAACTCGCATGTGAAAATATCAAATTTTTAACATGTCATTTTCAATTGGACTAGTAACACTAACACAAATAAATGGGAGAAAAAAGTGGGCCTTATGGAATCAAACCCACCCACCAACCAACCCATACTCACATCTCAATAATGTCATAAATCAAATGTCACAATGTCACAAACTAAAGTAAATTACACTTCTAATTCATATGTTAGGTTATGAATATAACTGCTGACCAAACTCTTTTACCAATGAAAATAAAAACAGATGAACAAACACAAATGATAGGATAAAATCATTAGGTAAGTAGATAAAATTTTACCAAATCACTATCAACCTTCCATTCCACATCAACAAGTTCAATTCATTAATATGGGTCCCATCTCTACGACCAATGGAATCACGGCTCTTGAAATCACATTACATCACATAGAAATTTCATACGTGCTTCCCATTTTGAAAAAAGATACATAAATAGTGTTGTATAATTTGTGGGCCTTTTAATTAAATATTATACAAACACAATTTGACAAGGGGACCACAATTAATTTGGACCGAGAAAGGACTTGGTAACCATCATTATTACCAACCAACCACTAAAATATTCTCCTATTATACTATTTCACATATTAATTTATTAAAATATATAATTAAAAGATTAAATATAAAATTAATTAATCTAAACACAATGTCAGCACCTCATTCAATTAAATCTCTATGATTTAATTTAATTTAATTAACCTTTACTAGTACAAAAAAAGGTCATTGAGTACTAATGAAATTCGCAATCCTTCAAAACCAAGTTTGTTTTTAATTAATTTCCATCATTACCCACCAACACTTTCATATATGCTTTATTCATGTAAGCATGGAAAGCAAAGCATTATATGCTTATGCCACCACATAAAGCAAAGCATTTAAACTTTTATCAAGCTAAGTTAACGGTAGTAGCTAGCTACTATTTCAAATCAAATTTCAAAACTCAAATCAATAAAAAAAAAAAATCAGTAAATAACAAAGAAACGGTAACAAATCTTCTAGATTCAATACAATACAATACAACAAATAAATTCAATTATTATTCATACATCATGAATACGACAATACATTACACTCACACATTCACCAACACGCTGGCATACATAGCTGTACACAACGCGTTATAACGTAATCAAAATTAATAATAAATATATTTATACCAGAAAAATCTAAATATTAATTAATAATGACAACAATTAAATAATTAATTGATAATAAGATAATGAACAAAATTAACAATAATCAACAACTTTAAATAACAGAGTATTTTCATAAGAGAGTCACAAAACTCACAAGAGTGACCCACAAATAAAAAGGATTAAACATGGAACATTAAAGTGTATATAAAAATTCACAAGCAAGCTTAATTAATAAAATTATTATTATTTTTTTTCAAAAAATTGAATAAAAATAATAATCAACTCCTGCACCTCGTAATCGCACTGCATCCACGGCTGTAAGGGTTGGCCTGAGCACCGGGACGGCAGTTATAGTACGAAGCGCCACGGCGAGAGCACGGTACAGTGTTCCTCTGAAGCGCACCATAGCTGATGTACTTTGTGGTTGCTAAAATACGCCTGTTGATCTCGCTATCGAACTGAAACTCTTCTTCGCCTTGTTGCAACATGCAATCGGCGATGGTGCCTTCGCAGGTTGTTTTTGTTTGGTGAATCCATTCCATTCCGAGGTTGAATCCTCCGCCGGCTACTGTCGGTGATGAAATTGTTGCCGTTAATAAGACGGTGGCGCAAATCACGAGGAGGAGGTGTGAATAGAAACGCGGTGGTGCCATTGGTTTTTGTTTTTTTTTTGAGGAATTTGTGAAAATGAAATTGGATTAATAAAGGACAGAGGTTTAGGATTAGAGCATTCATGTCTCATTTTAAAGGCTCGTGTGTTGAATAATGACACTCCAATTCAGTTTATTTACATTAATGCCATTCTCATAAAAAAATTAAACTTATTTTGGGGAATTTTTTTTTGCAATAATCAGGTATTAAAAAGAAAATCGCAAATAACCACGTTTCGGAAAAAATTACGCAAATAACCATGTTTCAGATGACTCCCCAAAAGGAGGAGCCATCTCACTTAGCGCCTCCACCTAGGGTTTTGCCCTAGGCGCCATCTCACTTGGCGCCTCCTCTCTCTTTTAGTCAAGTGAGATGGCGCATGCATTTTAAAAGTGAGAGAAGGCGCCATCTAACTTGGCTCCTAGGGCAAAACTAGGGCAAAATGTTGTTTTTATAAATAATTTGTCTGTTTCTCCGTCATTTCTCACACTTTCTCGCATTGTTTTCTTATTTTTTACTTTGTTATTTGCGTCATGACATCGCCCATGATTTTTACCAGAGATGGTTACGTTATCTTCTCTGCCACGAAACCTGCGATGAAAATGAAATTCTGGCACATTCACTCCATGGAGCGTCTGAAGCGGGAGTTGATGTGATGGCTAGATGGAGACATTGCGGAGGGGGGGAAATTTGAAGGATCCAGCGAAGACGAACAACAACCTCACATGCGACAGGAAGACCTAATGTATGGTTGGAGGAAGTCAAAACAGACAGCGACGTAATGTTGATGATGCATGAGTCAGATGAAATTGTTTTAACAGTTGTAATTTCGTAGACGGAATATCGTGTTTTTTTTCTTGTACGCACAATATTTATTGTAGCAAATATTGTTAACAAAAAACCCTAATGTTTACAACATAATTAAGGAAAGATTTTATGTATTACAATTTTTATGTGGTCGAGGCAGACGCCCGATTCGGACAATTTTTGCGATTGTGTCCGACCTGACGGTATAAACCACACTTTCTTTCCAGCTTGTCAAGTTCGTCCATTTTGGTTGTGATGCACTTACTTTTGGGATGACCCTTCTTGTTCCTTCGCATTTGGTCATTGTGCCACACTATTTCATCGTCGTATGCAGGCCAATAATCTGGTTTTGCTACCAAAGGAAAGCTGTTGTTGTAAACGTTGAGCAGCGTTTCAGATTTATAAATGTGTGACAGAAGTTGTAGCGCGTCTTGATGGGTATAAGCACAAGCGGCAATGACATGAGAGCAAGGCATACGAAAGGCTTGAAACTTGCCACAATCGCACCAACGAGAAGGTAGTATGACCTTATATTCTTGTCTTGGCAGGCCTTCGTTGTGGTCGATTGTTTCTTTTACAATGAAGTTGTGGTTGTGTCGGTCAAACCGTATAACCATATGAGTGTTGGCTTTGGCACTTTCTGCCTTAATGTACTTCATGCAGCTTTCACTCCATAGTTGTCCAGATTGCAACACCGCATTCTATATTTCACCTCTTTTGGCAAACAACGAAGCCATCCTAAAATACGTAGATTTTACCAATGCAGTGATCGGGAGGTTTCGTATGCCTTTGAATACCCCATTCATCTATTCAATAAGATTCGTTGTCATGTGCCCCCGTCTTTGGCCATTGTCGTATGACCTAGTCCATTTTTCCACCGGAATATTGTCGATCCACCTGCCGGTTTCCAGATTTGACAAACGTATCTCGTTGCGGTAATATTTAAACGTGGGTTGTGTCAATGCATATCCCGCATTCATAATCATTTTCCTTAGTGTTTTGTCCTTGATCTCCCTCGTAAAATTCTGGACGATATGTCTAACGCAATAGACATGCGTAGAAGGAGGGTCATGTCAACCGTTTGCAGGATTATTGTAGGCACTTTCAATGGAGGCATGTTTGTCCGAGATCAAATAGAGATCCGGTTAAAGAGCCACGTGTGTTCGCAAGTTTTTCAGAAAAAAGCTCCAAGCACCACTGGTCTCCCCCTCGACTAGGGCAAAGGCAATTGGGAAAATGTTGTTGTTGCCATCTTGTACAACTGCCATCAGTAGCGTGCCTTTGTATTTCCCATACAACCAAGTCCCATCAATTTGTATAATTGGTTTACATGATGCAAACCCTTTGATGCAAGGTTGAAATGCCCATAACACTCAACTGAATATTCTGTTTCCGTTTAGTTGGCTACCATCTTGGGCGTATGCTGGCACTGTTTCCAGAATGTAAACAGTATCCGGAGAATAAGTCTTGAGTGCATTCAGGTAGCGAGGAAGTTCTTGGTATGACTCCTCTCAGTTTCTGTACACCTTTTCAATCGACTTAGTCTTTTGAGGGTATGGGTAACCGACTGTACCAAAGTGGATCTTTTAGATAAGGAGATCTGATTGATTTCATGGATCCGGAATGCATTGACTTCGCTGGGCCATCGACCCTGCCACAGCAGGAAACGCGACGACACCCAGCACGGGAAAGGCGAGGACGGGGATGCGGAACCGAGGGTCATTACCGGGTTCCGGGGGATCACTGATTTATCTATTTTTTTATCTGTTTTTTTAATGTAATACATATGGGTGTAATCATTTTTTTAAATAAAAAGTCAATTTTGTTGATCCTGTATCGAATACGCAACGCACCGGACTGGAAAAAAGAGAGCGAAATTTGCCCTAGAATTGCACTAAGGCGCCATCTCACTTGGATTAGGGCATGCCCTAAGCACCTAGGCGCCAAGTGAAATGGCGCCTCCCCTTAAATAATGGGTGTAGGCGCCAAGTGAGATGGCTCCTCCTTTGGGGAGTCATCTGAAACATGGTTATTTGCGTAATTTTTTCCGAAACATGGTTATTTGCGAATTTTTGTTAATACATGGTTATTCAAAAAAAAAAATTCACCGATTACCATGTCAAACATTTGATTTATATTTGGTTAAGTTGGTTAACTTTATTATTGTGTAGTATAGTATAAGTATCTCATTGAATTCTTAATGAAATAATACCACTATTTTACCATATTATCTCTAATTTTATCATTCTTTCTGCATTATTTATTAGTGTTATCTTGTGACTGTTTTGCTCCAATATTTGACATCAATAGCTTGATTATTTTATCAAACACTAAGTACGAAAATGCTTTTCATCTTTAGTGAACGTATCCATGCAAATCTCTAAATTCTTGATGCAAAAAATTATGATGAATTGTGCAAGAATGTGTTATACTTTCTTGAAGTGATCAAGAATGATTTTAATTCATTTGTTGAAAGTGCAACAATTTCACAAAAGACAACATATAAAGAAGAGAAGATGAAAGATTTCAAAGCCTTTTATCTAATTCATTAGCGTGTTGATGCTGATAATTTTGAAAAGGTTGGTGATTGCCCAACTTCAAAGAAAGCTTGGAAAATTCTAGAGAAAAGTTACGCAGGAGTTGATAAAGAAAAGGTGGTGAGGTTAAAAACTTACTAGAGGCAACTGGAATTGATTCAGATAGAAAAAAACTAGACTATTATTGAATTCACAATAAGAATCACAAAATTAGTGAACCAAGTAAACGCTTCTATAGAGACAATCACTAAATAATATATAGTCGACAAAATATTAAGATCTTTAACATCAAGATTTAATAACGTGGTGGTAGAAATTGAAGAGTCCAAGGATCTTTCAACGACGAGTAATTGGGCATAGAAGACTGCAAAGTTGATGTGTGATTGACCTAATGTGTCTAACGGTATCTTAACTGCAAGTGCACAGTCTATCACGGTAGTAATAAAAAGATGTCGAACCCACAGGGACTTCGTAATCACTCTAGTGTTATGAAACAGGTTAGTTTAGCTAAGGCGGAAATTGTCACGTTTGGTTTTTAGAAGTTTAAAACTAAAGGAGAAACTAAATTCAATTAAAATAATTATAATATTAAAGTGGTTGGAGTGTAATGTTTTGAACCTATGCGAATTAAATTGTACCTAAGCATATAAAAATATTTAACTTAAATTGTTATGTAGTACTTATCAGTTTAAAAACCCTCGATTCACACTCTCGTGGTCTTACCTCGGATCATACTCCTAAAGCCAAATGTCTGCTCTCGCTAGCCCATAAGTGTTTAGAAAGTATCTTTTTGAAAACTAAATAAATCTAATTCGTTTTAAAGCGCTCTCGCTGTATTTAAATCGAATGCCTAACTTTAGCTATCCGGTTAAAATCTCACACTCTTGTGGTCTTGATTTCTCCCTATTTTACTTTCCTTACTCTCGTAACAAAAAGCTTAATTTTTAATTATAAAAAGTCACGGCCAAAAATTAAGTTAATTAAGGTTTTAGCTTAGAAATACATTAATTCATTCGGTTATTTCATCACACCCCGACTACGGGTATTTAGCTACTCATAATGCTCGGAATTAAAATGCGGGAAATAAAATCAGAAAACAATAACACATGCATTATAAATAAAGAACAGAAATTTAACATAAATAAATTGCAATTATATTGAATACGATAAAAAACCTGAAAAGCAATAATATCCTAGATCCTTCTTCCACAAGCCGGTAAGATCGGAACATCGGAATGAAAATTAAATAAACAAAATGCTGAGGCTTGAAAGAAATCCTAACTACAATAGCAATTTCCTGATGTTGGAAATGCTATTAAAGGTTCTGAAAGGAAAGGGAATAACAAGAACAAAATAAAGTCGGAAAATAGAATCGGGTTTTAAATCGGCAGAGCTTCCGTAAGAATTTTATGAACTGAACTCTCCCTTTTCTTCTTTGAAGTCCAAGCTATTTATAGAGAATGAATACAGTTGGAATTATATTTCACGTTGCTAGATTCTTGGCTTGCTGAGAAAAATAAGGAGAAGGTGGTCTTGGTCGTTGGAGAAAAATAAGGCACACATGCATTCGTTACTTGACCACGTACTGCACGTTCAAAATCACTAATATAATGCTTGTTACGGTCGTGGCTGGTGTGTTACGTGCAGATTCCATGAAA